AAGGTACTCACATAACTTTCTTGTTTTGTTTATATACATGAGTAAAAATTGACTAGACATTTGTATAAAATCGATTTAAGATAAAGTACATTCGGAAATAATAATAGTGTTGTCAATAAAATACAATCAGATGGGAAATAAGATGTTTTTATAGTAAAATAAATAACTTATTAGTATGTTATAATGTTGACTGAAATACTTTCTAACATTATTTATTATCCTCTGATCTGGCTGGTAATGATGTCTTCCATATCTCTGGTATTTGCGTTGAGTCACTTCTACTGCATCTGTTGGGTGAAGGACTCGATGATAGCACTAATATTGTTTCCGAATGTACTTCTTCTTCCATTCTGTTTCACGCATGCCTTGTATTGATTTTATTCAAATGTCTAATCAATTTCCACTCATGTACATAAACGAAGCAAGAGAGTTGTGTGAGGAGTACCTTGATATGATTACAAGTAATAAATTGTACTCAAAACATGTTATCAGTAAACACTGCGTGACTACTTTATCAAAATAAAATTTTATCTATAGTGGAATAATGAACAATGTAAGAAAGCGTCTGAACTAGCTTTCTTTTGAACACACATAATTTAGTTATCTTCAGGTGGATTCCAACAGCTACAACTATACATAAAAGCCGAACTCGTAAGGCGAAATTACGATTCATCAGAATACGGCAGGTAACTTTAAATGCATTGTGAAACATGGACTTTATGCTAAATATCTACAGGATGAGCTAAAATCGAGCTACGAATAAACCTTGTTTGTTCCTTGTTTAACCACACAGGATGATGTTCAGAAATCCGATGATAGAAAGAAGTAATTACATATGTGTATGCATGGATATATGCAACATAGGCGTCCATCTGCTTGTTACCATGATGTCTAAACTAGGAGTTGTAATGGACAACTTTTGACATCAGATAATTCCAGATGGCTTGAATAATTTTGTTTAATATGGCAGAATAAACTATTGAAAATTTAATTTAATTTTAGATTTTCCCGTCCACTGATTGGACCGAAGTGCTCGATCTCAAGTCGACATGTCTGTCGGCTTCTTGTGCAGATGCTTCGACGATGTCTGGGCATTTAGTTAATATTTAATTGGTAGATGGTGACTAGCAGTGGAATCCAGGATGCGCATTTCGTCCTATTTGTGACTCATCATCTGCAGGTACCTGCATTTCTCAGTAAGTGATGATGTTCCCACCGAGACTCGAACCCGGTGCCCATAGTTTCAAACGCCAAAGCGTTATCCACTAGACTATACTTGGGCCACGAGAGCCACCTGTTGTGCAAAGGGTTATATTAATTTATTTGAATTTTAGATTTTCCCATCGATAGATTGGACCAAAGTGCTCGGTCTCAGGTTGGAATCCAGATGACGAGTCCCAAATAGGGCGAAATGCGCATCCTGGATTCCACTGCTAGTCACCATCTACCAATTAAATATAAACTATTGAAAATTTAAAATGTCATGCTCAAAAAGTTCATGACTTTACTTCAACTCACTATGTCACTTACTAAAACTCTGGACACATTAATTTATATTCAGAGATGCAGATATCAAGCAAATTGATGTTATCCAGCTTATGCTTAATCAGAGAAACGCCGACGAATTGAAACCAGAAGTCTACAATCTTTACCTTTGTTAAGGATATATTCGTGATAAAAAAAGGAGTTTTTGAAATTGCCAATGTTTATTTAATAACTGTAACTTGGTAATCAATTTCACTCTCCACACTTTGAGATTAATTACCTTTATAAAGTTTACACGTTATGTCTAGCTGATAGAAGTCTGTCTATGCAAACATATACAGTTTGATGTCCATGAGTCACAAATAGAGTACAATTGCTCTTCCATAATCAAATCGGATGATCAACAGTTCAAATGTATTCTGGCAACAATTCTGACTATGATCTAACTTCAGTTAGAGAACCATTGGAAAACGAGGAAGTATTGGACAACTGTTTCGTCCTTCCTCTTTGGGATGCTTCATCAGTACGCACCTTTGACCCCACCATGGATCGAACCCAGGACCCTGAAGGTTACAAGGCGAGTGTTTGTTAACCATTTCAGTTACTGTGATGGAATCTAATGGTCTATCGATTATAACCCTCATCAATTTGCGATAGCATTAACAGCTTTGCATTATTAGATAAAATTAAGAAAAATTATATTTCCCAAGTATGCAATGAGTCCTAATTTGATGTTAAGTGGTTGGAAACAATCGGCAGGAAGCTCTGGTCCTAAGATTAATGCTTGATGGCACTCGTCAGTAAAGTGTACCCTTCAACTTTGAAGGAAATGACAAGCGAGTAAAAAGTGTTACTGTTGCTACTTAACAACTAAATATACAGAAATGTTTTACTCAAACATATATACACAACTAGTATGAACTTACTTTCCGTGTAAATGAACTTGCATAACATGCTTTGCTAGAGTGGTATCACGTTGGACATCATGTTCATCGCGTATAATAAAAATCATATCGAAACGTGATAAAATTGTTGGCATAAAATCAATATTATCTTCACCCTTTGTATTATCCCAACGACCATAAACACTATTAGCAGCAGCTAATACAGAACAACGACTATTTAGTGTTGTTGTAATTCCAGCCTAAAGAAAGATATCAAAAAGAAAATTAGTGAAATATTTGTTAGTTGTCTTCTCTAATTTTTACAGATTCAAACGTATTTGTAATGCATATCACCGTATATTAACTGAGTGAAGGGAGTGTATGGGCGGTTGTTACTTCCCGGTTGTGTTATGGCAGAGCCCAGGAAACATCTGCTTGAGACCAGTCAAAGATGGCTTGTTTGAAGTGGTTTTTGAAGGTGTGTCTGTATTACCTTTTTACTACCACAAGGTAAGTCGAGGTGCACAATTATCGGGGTCAGTCTTTTCTACCCCACCCCATTCTCCAGGGTTAAGAGGCAATATATCTAGCTTGGCTGTCATCTGAGAGGAACACCTTATTACAGTCATATACGACTTTGTTAACAGACTTCCAACTTAGTATGGCCAACTTATACTATTATGGTAACGGCTTTTCGTTTAACTGCTATTTAAATGACTTTACAGGTATGTTAAGGACCTGCGGGGACATTCGTTCCAGTCAGTGTACCTCGTTTAGTCACTGTGATATGCAGGCTCAATCGCCACATCAAGGTAACGGCTATCGGTCGGAATCTCAGCATATTACCTTTCAGATAGCATTGTTCCTAATTTGTATGTCATATTTAGATATGCTTCTACTGAAATGTGGCCATTACAACATATCTCGTAGACGACTACAACAGAAAAATCCATTTCTACTTACTGGTTGGTGTATTTACTAATGTAATATTTTTTTCTCGAATATATATTTAATTAGGTATATTAGTAGTTATCAGACATTCAATCTGAAAATGGTAATTTGACATTATGCTAAGTAAAGTAATTTTAGTATGTTTTTAACGATTTAGCAGTACGACACTAATTGTCATCCTAGGCAAAATCATGTCAGCTTTAGGAGGAAAAAAACAGCTGAATAGTGAAACAAAATGTGATTTTAGCAATTCGTTCTTTAAGATAAAAATTTATCGGCATGTTTCGAGGTAACAATGACAAAAGATGAGGAACCCAAATCATACTGTCTCCCCTCCCACCCCCCACCCCCAACACCAATTAACATTTCTGATAGTATATCTAAAGTGTTATATGATTTCAGCCTTAAGGAGATGGAATAAAATGAAATCGTTCAGTAAGGAGGTAAATTTCAATCGATGAGTTTGTGAAGCTGTATCGATTGAGATGACTACGATACGTGACATACATGCTTAAACTATCTAATTTCCGCGTCAATCAATGCTGGCTAGTATAGGATTAGGAAGGAAAAGAAATATAAGTGTTCGGATGAACACTTAACATTTATCCACGAAGTCTTAGACTATTGAGTCAGCCATAAGTGTACACTGCCTGGTTGGGCACTCTGATATGCTGGAGCATACTGGCGATATGGACCGTCGTATTAATTTACAAACAGAATAGAAGTGAGCAGACGAACTAAACTAATTCCAACACAAAATTAGTTCCTTTAACTGAACTCCACGTAGTAAGTAACTAATGTCATGTGCAGACTAAATTCTATCAGTCAAGCTTGCAATGTGGCCACCATGCTAGGTGGCTCATCATCATGGTGCGTTCAGAATTGTAGTTATTAGATAGTTGGAGGCGATCGCCAAGAATCCTTTGATTTAGGTTTAGCGCTAGTTGGCACTCACCAGTCAGCAAGGCGTAACTGCAACCTCTAAGGAACTCATGTCCCCTCTGAGATTCGAACCCGTGTTACCTAGTGAGTACTGCAAGAAGAGACGTTACCAGCGAGCTATTCGCGCTGGCGATTGACCTCCTGACAAGTTTTAACAAGGACGAAACCTAGGTCCAGGGTTTCCTGTCGGTTGCCTCTAACCATATGATAACAACAGTTTACCAGTCATAAATTGAATGATTAATGGGAGAGTAACCATCATTCACACTTAGGTATGATGCTGATTAAATAGTATCAATTAAATTTGCAACGTAGTGATGGTTACCAACAACGAAGCCAGGTGGTAATTTGCCATTGAGATGGAATTTTGATTTGATGTTAATATATTTAGGTCGTATATCAAAATATCTTGATTAAAACATATCATAGGATGAAGAAAAAGAACTAGCTAGTGTGAATAACTGCTAAGGTTTACCACACTAGGAAAATGAGCGAATCTAACATTACGATATGAGCACAACATTCACGTATAAAATATTAGCTAAAATAATCGGACTAGATATTGTTGTTCTATACAAGATCATAAGTTTATTTGATGTAACACACAGTTATACAGTATTATCACCATGTCCTTGAGTGTTTAATCAAATAAGCTTATCTGCTGTTATGAAATTATGTATGTGTCTACGGCAATGTTCAAATCCTACTCTTACGCTAGATATGTTGCATTTTCATCAGAATTAATCACGAACATTTACAGGGGTTTTTTTTGTAGAAGGGGATAAAGGAGAAACCAAACGATACGAAAAAAAGTTATTAACATAAAAACATTTCGATGAAGGAAAAATAGTTGTTGATTGTCCTAATGATTTATTATTATCAATATTATTATTAGTATCATTAAGAACATATGGTGATAACAATGTTTACCATCGAAATAGAATGTTCAATTAACAATGATAAAAGCGTGTAGTATTAAGTGAGCAAGTATAACTACTACTGAATTTACTTGAAACAAAGATTCATTACTGAATTACTAAACCATATCGATTATATATATATATATATATATGATTTTATTCTTTTAGGTTCCCAGTGGAACATAGGGCTACTAGCTAGACCTTTGAAGTTTCAGTAGCAGTGGTGTTTATTTTTACGAGATGGGGTTGCTAGCCTCATGCTCAACCCTCCCTCTGTACCAGTCTTACTACTGGCTTAGCGAGGTAAAGGAGTGTGTTGGTAGGGATCGAACCCCGAGTCACCTACGTGGTTGGCGAGAATCCTACCGCAGTGCCATCGACGCATTCTTTCACTGAATTGATCTCACTTTTGCAGAGAACCTTTACTGAAGGTCATAGACTGGGTGTTGTAAAAGACAATTGTGAGCACCACCAGAAAATGAAGTCCTGGCTATCCATTTTCCTCTATTCTTTGCATTATGAATGGGATACAGGGGTTTTGAGCTTTGAATTTTCAGCAACGGTGGTGTTATTTTTACAGACTGGAGTTTCTAGCCTCATGTCCCAATCGTCTCATTTCTCCGGGCTGTTATTGAATTAGGAGAGCGTGGGAGTCGTACTCAGACCTCCCCCACATGGCTAGCGAGGACTCTACTATTGAATCACCGATGTACAATGGGTAAGTATAGTGTTAAAATATTGATTACTTACGGGCCTCCTCTATCTAGGAAGAATTGGAATGTATGATATATTTTAAAGTATATTCCTGATTGAGTGGGATTCTGGATTGTTTGAAAAGAATTAGGATTTATGATTTACCATCCATTACATAAATAACAAACACATTATTTATGTGGAAAAGGAACTCTGGTGGTGCAGCAAACCGGAGACCAGAACCTATCGCAAGCAAATTATGTAGAAGGAAATAGAGATGGATTACAAACACGCTAAGGACACCGTTGAGTGACTTCACATTTACCAAGAAACCCCTCAATTTGAACCCAATTTGGAGACGACGAGTTGGACGTCGGTGCGAGGGTGAAATGGAGGAGATAGTGTAAGAAGAAAGTGAAGGCTAACGGGGAAATCATGGAGCTAACTAAAACAGACCGCAGGGTACAAAGTAAAATGCAGATATGCTACTGATGCGCTATGTTCTCCTGGGAAAATAAGAAAATAATAATCACAACGAATATGTAGCGGTAAATATCAGAAAGAAAATACACACATAAACACAACATAACAGTTACCTTAGCTATTGAAATAGTTTGTTGTTCCATAGCTTCATGAATAGCAACACGATCATCTTCACGCATTTTATCAAATTCATCAATACAAACAACACCGCCATCAGCTAGCACCATAGCTCCACCTTCCATTATAAAGTTACGCTGTAAGTGAAATGAGAAAGATAAGTTGACAGATAGGCAAGCGTTTAACTTGAAGTTGTCTGGTTGTCGGTGACCAGCGGTGGAATCCAGGGTGCGCATTCGTCCTGTTTAGGACTTGTCAGTTGCATAAGCCCGCAATTCTTAGTGAGCGATGATACTACCGCTGAAACTAGAAACCAGTACCTATTGTTTCAAATACCAACGCATTATCCACAAGACCACTTGAGTCGCCTCTTGTACAACCGGCGTCAGCTATTATTTATTCAAATCAATTTTTGTTTACCCCGTTGATTGATGGCACCGAAATGCCTGGTCTCTGTTGATATGTCGGACGATTCGACGATGTTTTGGGATTAATTTGAAGTAAGTTAGGTTAATCCTCATATATCGTTAAGGCCTTCGTCCATACTAAGAGCCAACATGCCACAACAGAGGCAGGAAATTTCGGTTCGATCAATTTTACATAGAAAAAAATTGACTTGGACAAATAATCGATAAACTTAATCCATTTTAACTAAATTACATAACTATAAGCCACTTGAAACCTATTTCCAACTTAGGTGATACTGTTGTGGCTTGTCGACAAAGTCATTTAGTGCATGTAACACATGTGGAAAGCATAAAAAAGAAGTAGTAGACAGCCTAAACACTGGTACACTGCAATATGTATGCGCTAATTTTATATTTTTCTTATGAGTCTAACTGGAAATTATGTGATTACTTTGTAATTTCATGTTTGAGCGCGGATTGACATCATTTAGAAAGTCACCGAAAACCAGACAGTGTACTGGACAGGTAGGCCAAAACGTCTGTCAGACCAAAATTGAAAACAGGGAAATTCTTGCAAACAAAAACTTGAAAATAATCCGATGCTCACTAGTGATTGATAACAGGATGAGTTCACCTGAACTCTTAGTGGGAAGTCGTGATCGATGGGATCCACCAGTTTAGGTGTGGAGACAAATACTCGCTAAATACATACGCTGGCGATGTTGTTAAAAGTCGCAAATGGATGCAGTGAATGGTCAACAGCCTCACCTTGTAATCTGAAGGTCCTAGTCGGGGGGGGGGTTATGGGTGAGTACTGCTAAAACAGTCAGTCCTTAACTACGACGAAACCAACCAAACCCTTACATACTAATATTTGAAAACCTTATAATTTATTATTCCCTCATAATTCAGTAGTTATGTGGGATAAAAACATATTTTTACCTTGTAACATCTATGGAAAGTTTAGTAAAACACACATAACTACCAGTCAACTTATTGCATCGGTTTCATAGTCAAACGTATATATTTTCAGATACTGAGGTAAAACAGGTGATGTTCGATGATAATTAACCAAAGGGACTTCTACAGTCGTTGTCATAGAAAATCTGTTTGCTTACGCTAGTTTCACTAGGCAGACAGTTACAATCACAATAAAAGTTAAACAATGATATTGGGACAGAATTGTACTCCAAATCAAAGAATTTAGTAACAGTAAGCGAAACTGACTTACAGTATACGGATCTCGGGTAACAGAAGCTGTGAGACCAGCCCGTGAACTACCTTCGCCAGAAGTATATACACCAATAGGAGAACATCGTTCTACAAATGTTAAAAGCTGTGATTTAGCTGTTCCAGGATCACCCAACATCAACATGTTTATATCACCACGACGCATAAGTCCATCTGGAAGACTAGAAGGAAAAAAAAGTTATAAATGGATTGAAAGAGTTTTAACTACCATCAGAATAAATTAAGTCTTGAAAATATGATTAGATCACAACATAAATTCATTTTATTTTTATTTCACGTAATAATCATAATAATACCTTTAATGTTTTTTTCCTTCACGTTCCCAGTGGAACATAGGGCTTCAAGCTAGTGACTTGAAGTTTCTTTAGCAGTGTTTATTTTACAGGATGGGGTTGCTAGCCTCATGCCCGACCTTTCCTCTTTACCAGCATTATTTCAGGCTTAGCGAGGTAAAGGAGTGCGTCTGTGGCCGGAAATCGAACCCCGGACTATGTACACGGTCAGCGAGTGTCCTAACCGCTATACCGCCGACGCACACCTTCGATGTTGGAGACATATAAAGTAGATTACTTCAGAACTGTATCACTTTGAATCAAAATGCAAAACAACTAAACAAAAACATGACATTGTTCAGAATAGAAATTAGTCTTATTGGTTGAGAATGTGGAGAGCTGTTGATAACTGGTCTAGGCACTGTTAAACTTTCTAACCCTAATCTACCTACTGAAGTTTCGACAACAGGGTAGGACAAATAAACCCCCCCCCCCCAATCATATAATAGATGTGGCTCAATGCCAACTGCAAGGGATAACTAAAGCTGAGTTTTCAACGCAGAAATTAGCATGAAAGTACAGTTATTCTAGCTGCCACACTCCACTTGGCCCAAAAAGGTAGAGAGAGAAAGAACAATTGCATGGAGAAACATGAGGACATAATGGACCTAGGAGACTACGATTTTGAGTTGTATCGGCGGCAGTCTTTAGCCATTGGTCCCTAGCATCTGGAAGATGCAGGCCAAAGAGCCTACACCTCTCTGTGTGTCAGTCAACTGCATGAGAATACTAATTAAAGTTGTGTAGAATTATAATACAATGGGACAGGATGTGTACTACTTTTTAGGAACAAACAAGTATGAGATGAGAGAATAGCTAAAATGAAGATTTACAATCCTACACGATAGTTACAAGTTAAAATGAGTGGAACACCACAATTCAACAAAACAGTCTTCGTCTATCACATTTTTCCAGATGCTGAATAAATGAAATACAATTGACGTTTTGAAAACTAAACGAAATCAATTCTTTCATATTCCAATACAAACACATTCATCAACCTGAAACCAATCTCGAAATCTTCGTCACTCAACTCAGTCACAACAACAAAATCCAGTCGGATCTTCAATACAAACGTCAAGTCGGTCAGCACTTCTATACGGATCAGACACTTGGAGGGTCACAAAGAATATTTCCAACAGCCTGTTGCAAATCTTTATCAACAACTGTCTTCGCTGGCTCTATACTGAAGATCAGATGGTCAGGTCGGAAAGAATCACCAACAAGAAACTATGGGAACAAACAAAACAAGAACCAATCTCCAACCAACAAATATGCAGGAGAAAGTGGAGATGAATTGGACACTCGTTGAGAAGGCCACTGGGTGACATCGCGCGCCAGGCCATCGCTCAAGTGGAACCCGAAAGGAAAGCGGCGAGTGGGACGTCCAAGGGTGACATGGAGGAGATCATGTGAAGAGGAGTTGAAAGATTATGGACTAACATGGATGCAGGTGAAAAGTAGAGCAGGAGACAGAAGTGGCAAGTGGAGACGTGCAGTTGAAGCCCTATGTTCCACTAGGAACCCAAGGGAGCAACAATAATAATAATATTCCAACTTCATTTTTATGATTATATTGTTAAATAACAGGAAACTATTGAAATAACGGAGACTAACCATATATAGAAAGCCTTATACAAAAAGTTAACTTCCTATAAGTCGAAACAACAGAAGGAAAAAAACATGAAGAAAGTGTGAATAAAACGGTATAACACTAATACAATTGTTTACACACCCTAATATCATCACGATATACGGTTTAATATTGAAAATTTGATATAACCATAGTTCACCGTAAGAAACAAAACGTACGTCAGTCATAGTAGAAAAAGGGGGGCACAATGGAGAGTTGGTTCATTGGCTTAAGCACTCGGTTTTCAGCAGATGGGTCACGGGTTTGAGGCCCACCCACCTACTTCAGCTTGTGCAAATGGTTAGTATCACCAGCCCTCATATAATTAGTGTGGCTCTTAGTTTGGTAGACGGAAAAATCTATCCTCCGCCTAGACAAACAAAGAGGGACAGAAAGTTATATAACTGATGGTAAGGTTATGAGAATGTTTAGAATCCTGGTGACAAAAATTGACTGCATCAAGAACATCAAGATAAATTTTAGATCATATCACTAAGAATCTTCAACCACTGATCGGCAACACCTCTAGGACATCAATCAGTCAGCTTACATGGTTTAAATCGGTAAGTCATAGTTTCAATGATTGGCATCACAGCCCGGTCTGGTTATATTATCACAGAGATTTGACTTACTGAGTATCTGAGTTTCAATATAGAACACTGCACCGAAGTGCAACACAGTTCAACTTGCTATACCTCATGTAGTACAGAAAGGACAGAAAAAAAAGATTCAATGGAACTATAACGAGGAGGGAGAAAGAATAGTAACATGGAAAAACATGGGGATTTAATGGATCCAAGAGATCACACAGTGAATGAACCTGCACGACTAAAGATCCAATAGTCTCTAGCCATTGGTTCTTAGCATTCCGAAAAGCCCAACTAGGCAGTCAACACCTCCCTACGCAGTTAGCTCAAGCCAAGTGTCAAAGACTTTATAGACTGATGACAGGTTTTGATTTGACCACCTATAATTCTTGTACAGCCTAATCCTATGTCGGCTAACATTGCTCTTTGAGGAAGGTAATGGATGGGTCGAGATGCGCGACACGTGTCCTAGGTATCTCAACCATTTCAGCTCCAAAACCTCAGCAACTGACTTACACTCGTCGCCTAACTTCAATATTACTCACTGTATTATACTACCCAAACTACTTTACAACCTGGGATTAATATTCTCAAGCTCTACAAAATAAGTGTGACTTACGGTCTGGTACATAAAAGAATCTGTACCGAGGAACTGACTTTTGATTTATTTTAATTAAGTCGAGAAATTCGTTGTTTTGTTTTCTGAGCATAACAACAAGGACAATTTCTAAAAAGATATACTAAAATATGCTGACAGTACAAAAATACACAACCGACAGAATTAAATAAGGCAAAGGAGATTAAGCTTACACCAGCCACATCTTTCTAACCTTTTTTTATACAGAGAAGCGCACACTTCAATTTCTATAAGTAACGAGGCTATTTACAAACACACACACACACACACTTTACACTGAATACTTGATAGGGATGGTTAACTGATCGAGAAGACTTCTGGCTCAGGTGGGTGACTTTGATGTAGTTGTGTTCTCTAAGCTGGATAGTTTATTTGCAAAGCTTTTATTGCCCCAACACTAGGCAACCTCTTCAGTGCATACTTCAATTTGAAGTGAGCTTTTAGATTTCTCCACAAGTTTATTAGTCATCTCTCCTGGTGACCTTGAAAGTGATTGCTCGTTTTTGTGTTTTCACACCTTCTAGGCTACTTGTATTGGAACTGATTGTTTCCTTGTCTTGAACTTTGACCCTTTGTGTATGAGATGGTTAGGACATGTGTTACGTATGCCTAGTCATCGCCTTCCTCGACGAGCAATGTTAGCGGATATAGGGTCAGGCTGGAAAAAAGCTAGCGGAGGTCAAACAAAAACATGGCCTCGCCAGTCAATGAAATCTACAACAGTTAGTCTAAGCCACGTAGGAAGGTATAGACTTCCTGGTTGGGGTCCTCGGGACTGTAAAAACCAATGGTTGGAAACAATTGGTGAGATGGCTCAAAATCTTTCTCAGTGGCTGGCTGGTGCAGATGCATCCACTCCTTGTGACTTATGATTTCCAATGAAACTGTTTTGTTCTTCGTTATTACTCTTCCTTTGTCTCACACCTATGTTTACTGTCTCTATTATGCATTTCTTGTACTTTCTTCTGTTGCTTTGTGTGCTACATGGAGTGTGCCGACTTGAACTGCCGCACATCGGTGCAAAGTTCTATGTCGAAAACAGACAGACAGACAGACTTATCGGTTGATAAATTTTGTCTATCTCGATGTGTCTACTGATTGATGATTCACTGGAATAACAGGCAGGCTTCTAAAAATTCTCTAACATTCTTGTTGTTTCCTCTGTCTAAAATTTGGACGTTGTCCCAGTCGAATTGATGTCCGTGGTTGTCTGTATGTAGTGATATGAGGGAGTGGATATCATGTCTTTTGACGGCTAGCTTATGTTCGTGGATACGAAGACAAAGGGGACGTTCACTTTGGCCAATGTTGTGTTTTTCGCAGTTGTTACAATTTATTTTGTAGATGATGTTGGTTTTACCTACTTTCGTTCTTGAGTCTTTTGGTTGACATAGAGGCAACTGAGTGAAGTGATTTTGTTGGTTTGTGTGCGACGTCAATTCCTAGAGGTTAGAAGAGCCTTTCAGTGATTTCTGAGATGTCCTTTATATATGGTGGGACGATTCTCTTTGTACTTTTCTTGGGGGCCTTTGATCAAATCAAATCACTACTTATACAATGACTATGAATGAAATTAAAAGTTATTCAGAAGTGTTTGATTTAATTGAAGTTATATAACTCAACAGAATGGTATACATAGAGTAAAATAAATAACACTTGAATGTAGTCAAATCTAGACATACCGTTTACGTGATCCTCCAAATAAAAGGCAAGCGATAGCTTTTTTTATATCAGCACTACCGTATATAGATGGAGCGATACTTCGAGCCAATCTGTCATAAATGTTTGGTGAGTTGGCTAAAGAAATCAATTCTTCTTCTTGGTTTTCTGTTAAAGTTGCAGATGCACCTGTTGCATCTGTACCACCAGATACTAATGCACTACGTCCAGGACCTTCTGTATCAATGGATAGTCCTAAGACACGTATGTATGGTTGACGAACACCAGCATTTGATCGTTCATTTGCACCTGGACGCTATACAAGAAGATAAAATAAAATATGTTACCAGATAAACTCAAATAAATAAGACAAAAATAGAATGACCGTTTGTTGTATTTGATTTCAGTTGTGTTTATATAGCCTTAAGGATGAGAGTTGACTGATTTATTTCAGCAGTTTCACAAAGTCTCAAATAATACCTTCGACGTTAGATTTTTCAATAGGGTCAGCACGAAACCTTAAATCTTGATGATGATGATAGTTATCTGAGGAATATCAAGAAGGCATACTCCTCTTTGTGATTTGGACCCAGTGAACCTTTCGGATGGTGAATGATCTTTCTCACGATCATTACATTTAAAAGAGTATATTTCGTCTCCTCTTTTAACGAGAATACCTTATTCATAAAGTCGAAAAAACTATCATATCCTTTTTCGAAGGATGGACGAAAACTATGCCGACACCATAGACGACCTGGTACATCCGAAGGTGGGTATAAGTCTTCCGCACGAAATGCTTTCACATGACCACACGTCACTGCTAAGTAAGGTCGGGGTGGCCGAGCGGTCTAAGGCGTCAGATTCCAGAGTAATCTTCTAGGTGTTCTGGTACACGATGTGGGCGCGGGTTCGAATCCCACCTCGGACACACTGACAAGTAAGCCCTATTCACTGCCTTGACGGAGCGGGAGTATTCCTCACAAAAGTAAAGGCGTGATTTCGAAAGTCTGGCGCTCACGAAAAGACTGATGGACATTCTGGTCCACCTAGTAGATTTAGAAAATCCTGATTACAAACCTAGGTGTACATTAACTCCAGAATCCGAACGGATCAAATGGTGTATGAATCTGTTTTGATCATCATCAACCATGGGAACAGAGTTCCTGATGCTGTTCCACTGCCTTGTGGATCAGGTATCAAGTCAAAGGCACAAGGAGTGATCGCTTAAAACAACCACTTTCACTCTGGGAATCTAGGCAGTGTCCGAGATCTTTCACAAACTATGAGACTTTGTGTAGCGTACCTCTTCGTGCTTATAGTGTACTAAGTTTGTGTTTCAATAATAATATATATAATCTTCATTACCTTCTTCTTTACTATAATATGATCAGTGCTAGAATATTTTTCACTAAATGACAAGAGATGTATATCTAAGTTTTGCAGTTGACAGAATGGAGGAAGCTTAACTTCCTACTTATTATGCCATAACAACTTATATCATTTATGCTATTGTTTGAATGTCCGACAGTCTATAAAAAGAGCAATAGGAGCAGAGATATTTGAAGTTTAGCTCAAGGTTGAAATATAATCCACTAGGGACAAACGGAGATATATGAACAATTTTACAAGATATCAAAAGGGGTGCCCCCTACGAGATTATTGCAATGTCATTTGATGATCACTTCCAGTTTTCAACCTACTTCTATCGAGTTAATACCATTGTAGACAACCTTTGTGCTATGGTTATCTTTGAGTTCACGTGAGTGCTGCAGTGCTCTGTATTGTAAGCACCAAGAAATGCACTGAATTCATGGAACTGTATACAAATTTATGTAACAGACTTTGAGTAACATCAAGGTTACAGGTACCATCAGATTTTTGAAAGTGAAGTAGATTGAAAAGACTTAAAATATATGTGATTTAGTGATTAAAAGTCTTACATTGAAGCTAGTGAGTTACACGATTACTGAGACAATCAGTCTTCAATGTACTACAAGATTTTCAAAATGACAGTCTACATTGATCTTTGAAGCATTAACAAAATATCACAATTTTCCTTGAAATTGTGTCAGAACAACATTCAGAAGAATATAAGATATCACTTTTTTGTTTCATATAAAAATACTAAAATAGACCCAAAGTTTGTATTCAAACTCCATTCGAAACCCACAGTACTCCAGTGATTCTTTGTTGAAGCGCTTCTGAGTAATGGATTAGAATAATCTTTTACATGTTAATTTAATAATGCACTTAATAATTAATTTATATCTTTTGTATTCACAAAAGTATAAGAATATCTGTGAACCAACATACCAAATAAATATTTATTCTACAAAAAGCATTCAGCTTTGTATTTAATATTTGTGTATTAAGTGAGATATATAGGATATATATGGGATGAGTAGATCTGTGATTCAGTGGTCTGAGCTGATGACTTTCAACCAAATGGCCACGGGTTCGAACCCAGCCCCGCTTACAGAGGGCTGGGCAGCCGAGCGATACTACTAGCCCCCACACAGTGTGTGGCTCATTATCAACTGCATGGGTATGAAAGTGGTTGTTGAGTAGGGCTGATGTAGAATATTATTTCATAGATTTACAATTTGTACAAAACTAGGAAACTTACCTTATTGGCAACGGTGACACGGATGCAATATACACCAACTACTGTAACACGATTCCCAGGAACTACTTGCTCGCAAAGATATCTGTAAGAAAAATTTGTTGTGACAGAAAAACATGCACAGGTGACAGATGTTTCAAAATGATGTAGTCATGTAAATCACTGAAAGGTGACTCACGTGGAAATGTGTCCTAAAATAAATGTTTAGTTAATACGCAGAACGCTGAAGGTAGATGGAAGTTCTACTTAGTCTGTGATAGCCTTTATGATATTACTGTTGTTCCCCACTAAGATGACTTTCCAAAATCTCTTTTTTCAAATAATTACTACTAACTAAAAATAAAGCACCATTTCCCTAATTTAGGCGGGTTAACGAAAACCTCTCCAACAGCGTTTCCGGTTACTGATTTATTACATTTGGATGTTACAATGGGATTCATTGATATTTATATCCTTCACAATTAGTAGGTTAGTAGGAGTTCTTTGTCTTTTTAAAATTTTGAACTTTTTTGTTTATCCCAGGGATCCAGTTAGAAAGCTTTGAGAAAATACTGATAAAAATCCTGGTATTATTTCAGTGGTCGAAATTGCCGCATTACATGCATGAAATACAAGTAAAAGAAATGATAGAAATATGCTCAGATGTCGCAGTGTTGAGACAAAAGAATAAAAGGTTAAGCGTAAACATATTTTTTCATGATGCACTTGTTAGAAGTCCATGGGGAACGTGGAACTGTAATTACACTCAGCCCCTTAAGTAGCACAACTCCGCTGTTAGACCATGCTTCGGTGAAAGTAACTTAGTGAAAACAAGTATACAAGCGACCTTCATGAGACTGTGTATGTTCTGAGTATAGCCGTTTATGGTTGGTACGATTCATCGTGATATGCAGCTCAGATGACAGTTATCAATCGAGACAGGTTCACAGACAATAATCCATTTAGAACTACAACAGAAACCTGAGTTCACCTACATTTTAAAGCTTAACATATCTCAGCCAATCATTGGGTTTAGTACTGGAATCTAAACTTACACAAATTCAACTGGAACTCTGGTACAGGGAAACATCTATTCTAGGTAAATGGGTTACTTTAAGCAAACGTAACTGTCGTCTTTAAATTGCAGTTCGAGAGCTTTTAATCTACCAGCTCTTTACAGAGAACTATGGCTTACCGAAGTATTGCGGTTCGCAACTACTCTTCTTCTAGAACCGAACTTAAATGAGGTTGTACAGTATCGGTGGAGAGTGATTCTTTCCCAGAATTTCTATGAATTTATGAGGCGAATTTAAGGTATCACAGCCAAAGTCAAGGTCTGTCAAAAGTTGATCTTCGAGCACCAACCAAACACAAGAATGCTATGAAATGTCATCCCTAATCAAATCATGACTGCCTCTTTGGACTTGGGGAAGGCAGTACATAGTATTTTACTTATCTTCTAAGTACTTTTTCTGTGAACCTATGCGGTTAGGTAGCGTTTTGACTTTTGTGTTAAGGTTAGGAATAGGATTAAACTTACGATTAGGAGTTAAGATTACGGTCAGAGTTAGGGGTAGGTTAAAGAACAGTGTTAGAAGTATCAACAGATCTCAGTGCCGTGATCTACAGTCACCCGGACGAATACATCTATCGCGCATAGTATGATTTTTCTGAAGATTATCTGTGTGATGTGGTGAATCATCACCGGGGTTCTCGGATGTCCATAAGTGAGCAGTTTAATAACCACAATCCCACTAGTAAATAAAGCGTTGAATATATTTACGGATTACTTCAAGAGTGTATGTTGTTTGACAAGCGTAGATTAGTGGTGTCGAGCAATCAAATGCACAACTGGCACATGTTGCCGCAACTGGGTTAAGAGTACGTTTTCTCCTGGGAATGTAGAGCCCACAAGCATAACGCATTTCATCTTACACACGTAAACGTAAGTTGGTACGAAATAAGAGAACTGAGTGATATCACAATAGGAGTATTTTCAATCACAGGACATTTCCATAACTCATCATCAAAAACTAACTCGCCAACATTTCTAGAACCTCAGTCAAGCATACTAAACTTAACATAAGTTTTAGAAAATTAGGGAAGACGCTATGTTTTAGCATAACCACCTTTACACGTTTTTCAACCCCTTTCTCCTTCAACTAATAGTGCTACTGAGTGATAGTATGATACTCTTAGGTTAAAAGTTGAGTAAATCTATTAGGCTAAAGTGACCATAGACTAAATTTTGAGCACAAAATATTAGGAAACTTAGATAATAATCAAGAAAGGAATTACCTGTCACAATATAAAAGAACGTGGCGAGGCATCTCCCCATGAGGAACAGTTTCCGGTGTTTCTTGAAGCTTAATCGTCTGGAAGTCAACACAATGACATTTATCAGGAACAATAAAAAAGGGATCAATCGGACATCTGGCAACCTGAGGTCCGCCAGGTTGAGTGCTTGGACACTTCCGTGGTAAAGCGAAACCTTCTAATCCTGGCTTCACAGGGAGATTAGGCAGGAACTGCCGACAACCACGACACTGCAAACTGAGACGGATGGCCTGAATAATTAGGGATACATACAAAAACACTTACTTTGGCCCTGATACTTGACGAGCTGATGGCAATACCTGAGATCTTAACCAGCTTTGAAACCTGTTCAGAATGCACATCTCTGAGGCTGACAGCATTAGTGTCCCATTCAAACAACACCTGAGCAGGCTCCACATAGCTCTCCTGGTCACTTGAGCGTACAAGTTCGGTCGCAACTTCGGTTACAGCCTCTTCAAACTGAACAGAAAAAGATACATTTAGCAAAAGAAATTATACATACAGCTGGTAGGTATTCACCAGGATGGTGAGTCAGTTCTTGCGTGAGTGAAGAGTCGTAGTTGTTGAGGTCTTTCAGCTTAACAACAATAAAGGACTTTTTTAATCCGTAGTTTTTTTTAATTTGATCTCTGGACCCATGTTAACAAAATTCAGACTGAATACCTGTATTTAAAATCAAAGCCACCATCATTGAACTGACGTATAAAATCTTTGAATTTCCGCTTGGCAAACTGTAAATTTGCTAAGTTATCTTGATCGGCGGTGTGCTGAAAAAGCGAGTCAGAGTAATACACCGCTCCTTGGTCAAAACCTGACATCTTCTAAAAATTCAAACGTGTCGGGGAGTTTGTTTAACCTACATTCCGGTGAGCTTAAACAAGTTACGAATAAACAATCCAACCGACATCAAAGAAAGCTGAAGAATCATACACAGTTTTGGTCCTGAACATGCAAAACACAAATTTATTTTGTTTACATGCCCGTAGATAGGCGGCAATGACAGTATCAGTTTGATGGAATGGATATGCGAAATCAATGAATTTTATTATCTACCGACCTACGATTTCCGCCGACTGGTCTTTCAAATGCCTTTTGATAAGAGATGTAGCCTGAACCATCTTTTTAAGTGGTCATTTCATGCTTATTCGAGTCGCCACTGTGTATATCAACGAATTACCTGTGGTCATCTAACCTCTCAAAGTTCCATACGTCGATGAACTGCGAGTCAGGAGGAGGTTTTGAGAGGAGAGCAATGCTCCACACTGCGAACAGATCGTTAGAATCACACGGGCTTGTCAAAGATTGCATTTTCCATTCTCACATGCATGGACACAACCACGACCACCAGCACGTATACGTTAGCTTACGCGTTATGGAGAGAAAAATTCCTAATCAGTCTACCTAGGTCTCACAGTAGGTCACAATCTGAAAACCCTGAAACACTCTCAATAGGTCGTGGCTCTCAGCCTTAAGATATTTTCATCAATGCTCGGAAATTTCACTAGGATCATCGCTTATATGCTCATCTTTCTCAAGGACTAAAATATAAAGATGCGTTAAAGAAGACAGTCCTTTCCAAAATTTAGTAAACATGCAAGGAAGAGTTAAAAGGATGGAGGTGCTTATGACAAACAATGTGACAGATCTATAGCATTAATGATAGACGAAACGAATCCATGCCTTTCCCACGGAAATTACACAAAAGCGCTCAGAGTTCGTCGTAATTTACAACCAATCGAGGGCAATCTTGACCACCGGTAGCATAGCGTTGCGTGATTTTCTGTTAGCCTTTACACTTAGTTCTAAAAACTTGAATTTTGGTGTCTGAGAACTAAAAGTGATCGACAAACAGAGTACCTGTGAACCAGATTCGTAATTTCCAAACGATTTCGTCATTATTATTGCTCCCTTGGGTTCCTAGTGGAACATAGGGCTTCAACTGCACGTCTCCACTTGCCACTTCTGTCTCCTGCTCTACTTTTCACCTGCATCCATGTTAGTCCATAATCTTTCAACTCCTCTTCACATGATCTCCTCCATGTCACCCTTGGACGTCCCACTCGCCGCTTTCCTTTCGGGTTCCACTTGAGCGATGGCCTGGCGCGCGATGTCACCCAGTGGCCTTCTCAACGAGTGTCCAATTCATCTCCACTTTCTCCTGCATATTTGTTGGTTGGAGATTGGTTCTTGTTTTGTTTGTTCCCATAGTTTCTTGTTGGTGATTCTTTCCGACCTGGCCATCTGATCTTCAGTATAGAGCCAGCGAAGACAGTTGTTGATAAAGGTTTGCAACAGGCTGTTGGAAATATTCTTTGTGACCCTCCAAGTTTCTGATCCGTATAGAAGAGCTGACGACTTGACGTTTGTATTGAAAATCCGACTGGATTTTGTTGTTGTGACTGAGTTGAGTGACGAAGATTTCCAGATTGGTTTCAGGTTGATGAATGTGTTTCTCGCCTTCCCGATTCTCGCTCGATTTGACATCCTCGTCCGTTCCGACCGCCCGTAGTTGAGACAATGCTCCCTAGCTATAAGTGAATGAAGTAACCTCTTTCAAATCCCTCCCGTTGATGGTGATTGGCGCTGGATGTTGTGCTGTTGTTGTTGGTTGGTTATTTTCATAACCTCCGTCTTGTCTATGTTCACCTGGAGTCCTGTCTTCTCCGGCTGCTTCTTCGACCAGTTTGTCGGTTTTCGCTTGTAAGTCTTCGATTGTGTGTGACATCAAACATAAATCATCCGCGAAATCCAGGTCTTCTAGGTTCTTCACGTCGGTCCAGGATATTCCTGTCTTCTCGTTTCCCACAGTCTGACGCATAATCCAGTCAGTCCACCACAATTAGGAATATCATTGGTGATAATAGGCAGCACCTTGTCTGACTCCTGTGTTTACTCCAAACGCCTTGCTGAGTTTTCCGTTGTGGATCACTTGACATGTGCCGTTGTCGTACAGCTGTTGAATAAGGTTGATGAATATTTGGGGTACGCCATAGTACTCGAGTAATTTCCAAATTACTTCACGGTCAACGCTGTCGAAGGCCTTCTCAAAGTCTATAAAGTTGAGGTAGAGGTTTGATTGCCATTCCATGCTTTGTTCTGTGATGATGATGCGTAGAGTTGCAATTTGGTCAGTACATGATTTGCCTTTCCTGAATCCAGCTTGTTCTGGTCGGAGTTCTGTCTCCAGTGCGTCCTTTAATCTCTCCAGGATGATGCGACTCAGGATTTTACTTGGCGTCGATAGGAGCATGATTCCTCGCCAGTTCTTGCAGAGTGGGCCTAAGTCGCCCTTCTTTGGTAGTTTCACGAGGTAACCTTTCCTCCAGTCAGTAGGCACCTTTCCCTCCTTCCAGACCTTTTGCAATAATGGAGTCAGCATGTCTGCTGTAGTCTCTGGGTCCGCTTTCAGTGCTTCAGGGGGTATTCCATCTGGTCCGGCTGCTTTTCCAGCTTTCAGAAGCTTGATTGCATTCAAGACTTCAGCTCTCGTTGGAGGATTGGTGTCAACTTGCAGTTGTGTGCGCGCTGTTGTTGGTATTTCTGGACGGGTTGCAGGTGATGGTCGGTTCAAGAGTCCTTTGAAGTGATCCGCCCATTGTTTAATCTGTTTTTCTTCCTTGGTAATGGGTTCCCTTGGCTTTTTATAGGTTTCGCTTGTGTTGATCTCTTCCCGGATAGAGATTTGGTTATCTGATATAGTGTCCTCAGGTCCCTTTTGCCTGCTGCCTTCTCAGCTTCAGTGGCCAGGGGTCGTAGAATCGTCTTTTGTCCTTCCTAGCACTCTTCTTCACTTCTTTGTCCAATGCTGTAAGTTGAGCTCAGGGTCTCTTCTCCTGTCCGTCCTTGCATTGAATCATTTTCTCTTTCACCATTCTCCTCTCTTCTATTAATTTCCAAGTGTCCGTTGAGAGCCATTCCTAGTCCGGTCCCTTGTACTAGATAGTGGTCTGAACCCACACCTGCTCCTCTCCTCGACCTTGTGTCCAGTAGGCTCCGTCTCCACTTTCTTGAAATTGAGATGAAGTCTATTTGGTTTTTGGTGTTTCCACCTGGTGAAATCTATGTCGTCTTGTGTATATCCTTCTGTTTAAACACACTACCACCAATCACCAAATCATTGAAGGCGCAGAAGTCTGAGGAGAATTCACCATTGTCGTTCATTTCACCGAGGGCCTCACGACCCATGGTGAGTTCTCTTCATGTGTTGTCTCCTCCCAGATTCTCATTCATATCACTCATCAGGATTTCGATATCGCCATTTGGGACGTTGTCCATTATTGCTTGTAGTTGTCTGTAGAACGCCTCCTTCTTCTCTTGTTCTGAGACGTTTGTAGGCGCATAACATTGAATGACTGTAACTTTCCTTCCTTTTGAGTTGAACCTGGCTGTCATTATCCTGGAGGAGATTGGTTCCCACTGCATGAGAGCTTTGGTTGGTGTTGGTGACATCATGATGGCCACTCCCTCGGTGTGCTCGTGGTTGTCCTCTAGGTGGCCGGAATAGATTATTGTCTCTCCAGTTGGTTGCTGGCACCTACCACATACATTCCATCTGCTCTCGCAGATTCTCAACACTTCTGTTCTATATCTCCTCATTTCAGCGGCTACCTGGACAGCCTTTCCAGTTTCGTACATTGTACGAAGATTCCACGTACCCATCCTTATTTCTGCTTTCATCGAAAGAAGGCACATCGGCTGACAGGCTTCCCAAAGGCTTTCACCAGTCTGCGTCATTTCACTCCCCCGATTCCAGCGAAAAGTAAGGCTATTGATTATGTTTTTAGAATTTTTAATATATTTATTCGTTGAAGTTTCAGTAGCGATTTGGTTGTTTTACAGGGGTGGAGTTGCTAGCACCACGCCCAAACCCTCCCTCTCTACCGGGCTTGGGACCGGCTAGGAAACCAGCAAGCTAGTAATCTGGCGAGGTTCAAACGATTTCGTAATTTAACAAATCATTTCACAGTTCACATAGTTCCGATATCCAAAATCGTTTATACAAGCTAGCGTGAGCCAAATAGATTTCTCTGTGTATGATTCTTGGTTGTGAGGTGGATTTTCATGGTCTTGGGCAGACTTCTGTGTATACGGTCCTGCCAATCGACTGTTATAGCTTTGGCTGATTCCGAAAGGAGGCGTGCTGAGATTGATCATAGGTGGTTCGGAGTATGCGGTGTGTTTAGATCGTCTCGCTGCTGAGCGTGCAGTTGATCCTTTCACTCTTTAGTCATCTGGTATGGTCAAGAGAGATAATAATAATAACAAATAAGATTAGTGTAGATACTGTAAACTTGAAAACGTACTAAGGATAGCTAATGAAATTCGAAGTTTGTATGTATATATATCAATAATAATACAGTAGTCGGAAGATTAACACGTAGGGGGATTGGAGGTAATAAAGGGATGATTAATAATGTATGCGTTTTAAGGGGATAGGTCGTTCTGATGGAGTTCTTGTGTCACTGCATCATTGTCCAATTTCGGCTTGAGGCTATCCACGGACGGTAATATGCTTCGTTAAAGTTAGTGGAAAGCACCGATATAAGTACAAACGCCTAAAATAATGTTCATATCCGGAAGTGTAATACGTTTAAGAGGCTGACGGTAGAGACGTTCGCGAATTGTACGGAATATATCAACTCAAGATCTTATAGCAACAACTTCTATATTATTTGTTTCTCGTGTACCAAAGGCAAAGCAAAACGCCACAATTAATTGTCCAAATTACGAGATATATTTCGGAACCAAATCGCGGATCGAAGCGGAAGCTAAGCTGGCTAGTTATCATGAACGAAAGCGACACGACGGAGTACCAAATGGCGTGGATGCTTAACCGGAAGCCTTCAGCTAAACAAG